TGACGGCGCATGCGCGGTGACCTGTTGATGCGCGGCGTGATGGGTGGTGTCGGAACGGCCGCTTGGTACGGTGGGGCGCCGGTGGCGCCATCTCCGACGGCGGTGCTCTCGGCCGGGGCCGTCACTTTCTGACAGAGGCATCGCTTTCAGAGCATCGCTACGTTGGGCAGGGTACAGTCGCTTCATAGCCCTAGGCCTAGGCCACGACTCGGCAGGTTTCAAAGTCTGGTTTCTTCTTAGGTCTCGGTAATTTAACCTCAGCCGCATCCTCATTTGTGAATAAATCGTTTTACACGAGGACACTGTAATATCCCGTAAATGTTATGCGCACAATTGCTGGTTCTCTTCAACCAACGTCATGATCTGCTACTGCCCATCACCACTAACACAAATGTATCCGACAGGGCTGATACAAGTGTCCTCAAGTGCCCTTCCCGCAATAAGCGTCCCGTACTGCGACAGTGGTGCTGAAATCCAGCTTCGGCCACAAAAGCGTGGTTTTGAAGCGCTCTGTCCGCAGGAAACGCCAGGCATGGGTCGGAGTCCTATAGCCTGAGTTCCACTTCTAGTCCGAGTCTTCTCGTCTGGATTCTCATTCCGAGTCCTGACTCCCCTTGTCACTTTGCGTGAGCCGGAATGCAAACATTTCCACGGTTTACAAGTCCAGGCCCCTGAAGATTGAATCGATTCCCGAGTCTGTGCCTGAATCCTAAGGTTTTGTCTAAAAGTCAGTCATTTTGTTCCTTTCGTCATCGCACAGGGCAAATATAGTATAGCACCAGACTGCCAGTCGTACGACTGTCAGGAAGAAAAATGCAACGCTTATACATCACATGTACCAAAACCTAGCCCCAAAATATAATAGCCTGGAGATTTTATTTCTACATTCCATGTGTATTTGCCGTTCAAAATGTACCCCTCAACCATGGCTGCAACTTCAGTGGGGCACAAGGATTACTTCAAGGCCAAGGCTTCTGAAATATTTGAGTCCGAATCCTTCTTTTAGCTCAGCTGTTCTGAGTCTAAGTCTAAGTCCGCGTTCACGGTCCTTTTCAATAGTGAACTACTAGTTCGATTCTTTTTCAGTCTTTCACAACAAATCGGGAAAGCCTTGCCTTTCTGTCCTTCCTCCCTTGACCCTATGCCTTTCATTTTTGATGGGAGTTGGCAGTGTGCTCGTTCAGTGCATTGAGCTTCAGTTCACCAGTATGGTGAACTGAAGGGCAACTGTTCTGTGCACCAGTATGGCGCTGACTACCGACCTCCCGGTGTGCGATGACTCGAAGCTTCTGAGCGTGGCACTGGATCAATGACTCGAAGCTTTTGGGCGTGGGCTTGGCACTGGACCGATGACTTGAAGCTTCTGGGCGCGGCACTGGATCGATGACTTGAATCTTTTGGATGTGGCACTGGATTGCTGACTCTTCTGGCGTGGCACTGGATCGATGACTCGAAGCTTCTGGGCGTGGCACTGGATCAACGACTCGAAGCCTTTGGTCGTGACACTGGATCGATGATTCGAATGTTCTGGGCGTGGCATCGGACCGCCATTTTGTTTCCAAACTCCATATCTGACTCTTGGGACCTACGTTTCTGAAGAGCGTAACTGTCTGCGAGGCGTCTCGCGCACCATGTGCGTGATTGTCTGCGAGGCGTCTCGCGCACCATGTCCGGAGCAGACAGATACAGTCATCTGAGGCAGTGCGTGCGTCATTTTCCGTTCCTTTATATTATACTTGCAATGTCCATGACACCGTCTTTACGTCCACAAAGAAGCCTGCGAAGCCTGGACTCTGTTCACGACTCCAGCGTCCGCACAGCAACTGGAGCGTTCCAGATATCTCATTCTGCCAACCTGCCAAGGGAGGCAAGCGAACCACCATTGGATCTGGGGCGTTATAAACTTGTACTGAACTATTCGGTCAAAGAAGCACAGATCCCCGATTCACCTCGTATGTGGTTTGCTCCTGCTGCGCTCTGTAGCTCTTCCGCTCCTTTCTGAGAGGGTGGGAAAGCTTATCACAGTCGATTTGTCTGCTCAGTAGAGACTGGATGCAGCAGGCCGGCACCAAGATAGATGAGATCGCGACAATCCAACCAGATCAGAGGCAGCCATCGTGGGAGCTATCATCCCCTGCTTGTGACAATGTGCTTGCGGCAATGCCAGAAAGGATCCACGCCCGTGGTGAAATTTATGCAGCACGTCATGCGAAACGAATTTCCTTGCGCAGTTCGGTTTTAACAGCCGGCTGCAGACGCTTCGATAGCAAATTCCAGGCCGCCTCTCCGCCAAACACAAGCCACCAACCGCACGCGTTCTCCGCCAATCAACAGCCAGAACTAGTACTGGGCCCGATGCAACTCGCGTAAGCCAATAACCAGCGGCCTTTCCAAGCTCTCCGCAAATCACATCCCGCAAATTTGAGTCGCCGACAAGCCGGCACCTCCAATCCGCAGTGGGCATTGCTGGCATAGTGTTTCTTGGATAGTTATTTCGACG